GTACAGTATGATGTTTGTTTTTATTACAAACCACTAGATATATTGATAAAGTCAAGTTGTACAAGATCTGATCTAAAGTTGCTTAACCAGCTTTTTACAGTATGTCACCTGTTGCCTTACTGAACAAATGACTGTGTACTTGACTTCCTGTTGTTGTCAACCTGACAGAATGACAAGTTGAATTTAGTGATGCACTCATAGATTACCGATTCAGACAAACTACAAGTCAAAGTGACCTGCTTGTGGTGACCTAAAAACAACTCATAATCCACTGGTTTGACTGGTGACTCACTGTAGGCGAGTGACTAACTACACAAGTATATTGGAAGGTTTCATAAAAGGTAGACTTTGTAAATTCTATTTAGTGGTGTATTTTTGGTGTACCACAGATCTGTAAAAGCTCTGTTATCCAACTCATAGTTGTTTTTTATCATCTCTAACTGAGTAGCTTCTTCAAAGGGTTTCAGTTCCGCACCGAGGCAAGAACCCTCCCAATAGAGTCAAGAAGGTTTGACCTTAATTCCAGTACCTATTGATACACACTAATGCACTGGCGGCAAAAAACAATAGATGTGTCGTCGAAAATGTCAGACTGCATCACATACTGCTAATGAAAAAAGGAAATGTGCTATGTTTGAGCTGCAGAAAGAAAGCCTCTTCTCAGCCTTTATGTCTCTGTCTGGACGGCTAGCTTTTGGAAGGACACATGAAGTACACTGGTTTGTGCAAAAGTGTGTGTGTGTGTGTGTGTGTGTGTGTGTGTGTGTGTGTGTGTGTGTGTGTGTGTGTGTGTGTGTGTGTGTGTGTGTGTGAGAGAGTCAGTGTGTGTGTGTGTAGTGTGTGTGTCGTGTCGTGTCGTGTCGTGTGTGTGTGTGTGTGTGTGTGTGTGTGTGTGTGTGTGTGTGTGTGTGTGTGTATAAACTGTATTTGCTTGTGACACACTGGGTCTAATTCAGTTACACAGGGGTTCTGTAGTGTAATGCCTTGTAATGACACACAATCTCATTTTGTCCAAGGAGACACATCAATCTTTTGAATTTACTGTGGGGAGCAACGTCTCTCCTGGTGAGTGAGTGGGAAGAACCACNTCTCTCTGCGTTTCTGCACTGGGCTAATGCTAATAATGCTAATGCGAGGATAATAAAATGCCCAGTGCGACTTCAACAAAACTTTTTGGGAGTTTTACTGGGCGTGGTTTGCAATCCGCCCAGCCAATCAGTAATAGGAACCTTTTTCTCCCACGAAAGTACCTGCTCTCTAGCAGGGACGGAAAAGGGGCTAAAAAAGGTTCTCATTAACTAATTTTAGTTCCGGCTCTTTTTGGTGTGAACGCGACATTTCGGAACTATATTGGAACTAAAGTGGGAAAAGTACTGCGGTGTGAACGCACCTATTCAAGCTGTGTGATGATAGCCAGCACGCATTGTGCACACTAATGCAGTGTGTCATGTGGGAGTGGTAGCAGTGTGTCTGTATCTATGAAGCATCATGTCCTGTTTTAGATGGGGCCATTTCCAAAACATTTTCTGACAGTTCAAAATGACAAGGCGACAGCCACAATGGGGGTCTGAGGACCACAACAGAAATACTCTGGTACTCCTCTCCTGTCACGTTCTCCAGGCAGCTACCATGTTTACAGAGCAGGGTTTACATGTTAAACCTTTTTTAAGAGGCTTTGAATGGGAAGGTAAAATAAAGAAATGGAAAACATTATTGTTATGGAACAAATATATATTATTAAAGTTATTACAGGTACTACAGTGTTATGGCCGATCTATAATCAGAACCATTTCTTGAAGTATGTACAGTTGGATTCATATTTATATTGAAACTTAATATTTGTTCAAGAACAAGTCAGGTTCAGTTAATGTCCGGACAAGAGGACAGATTTATGTCAGAAAAACGTACAAGGTGAGTTAAATCATATTGAAATCAAATACACAATCCAAATCTGAGGAACATGGCTAAACATTTCTCTACTTCTGTTTCACAAACACACACACTTTAAGATACACAGTTATGTGCCAACACACAGACCAGCTCACACTCAATCAGTTTCCCAGCATGACTGTCACGCACAACACTCTGCATACGAACCCCCACACACCCACCTATACACTCACACAAACACCCACAACCTTGTCATTTCCTATGACATCCCAAGCCTCCATTACCTGCATACATTAACCATCCTCTCTGATGTTAAAAATTACACATTCGTACATTTGAATAATTCAGATTATTTTAAAAGCTGTGCACTCACTCACTCTCTTTTTTCCAGATGGAAAGAGAGCTATTTACCTCAAATCGCATTTGAATAATTCCTATAAATCCTTTCAAAGTTCCCAGGGATAAACCAATCAAATACCCCCAATGCTGCCTGACTGGCCAATCAATTATAGCATTCATACTTGCAGCCTTTTTTTATTCAAAAGACATCAAATATCAAATCAAATTGCAGGTCCTATTTGTGAGGCTCAATTTGTTTGAGGTAAGAAAAGGTGGCTAATAGAGTGAGAGAGAAGGGGCATCGCTGCAGTGCCATAATGTGATTCCAAACCTAACAAAAATATTTGATGGAGTAAACAGCGTGCTTTAGGTTCATAAATAAAGTAGCTGATTCTATTTGTTAACAGAAGGGAAATATATTATATGTGACGGAAAAAATATACATTAGATGGCCAAATTATTCCTGAGATGAACTTTCTTATCACACTCAACATATAGTACGTATGGGTGTGCGTCTTAGTATGTGTGACTGTGATTATGATAGATGGTAGAGTTAGAATAAATAAGCAACAAGAATATAAGCATGGATAAGTTCATGACTCCTGAACTTACAACAGGTTAATGCAGACTTGCAATAACACAATATTTAAAAGGTTTAATAACTCAAACACTTGATTTTGACTGTGTTTACCAAAGAGCAGCGGATAGATAGTTTAACATCATCTCGCTCTCCTGCCATTACCCTTCTCTGTCTTTTTCCAACAGTCTGATAATCATGACAGGCGGTAACCTCCAGCTTCCTCTTTCTCTGTTTTGAAAACAACAACTAACCGTCTCTGACATTTGTTTCCTGCATTTTAACAGATTACACACACACACACACCCATGCAAACACACACCCTTAATCTGATATCCACCCTGAAGTTCCTGCTTTGTGACAAGTTTGCATGATCGCAATTTGTTTGACCACAAGTTAGATGTGTAACTAGCAGTTTAAATAATTAATTGTATTCAAATTAATTGATTTAGCTATGGTTGTCATAAGGGCTGTAACTGACAATGCACAACAAAGCATTTTTGAGACATTTATTTTATTCTTATGTTTTATTATTAAAAGGCAGCACCCTAATGTTTGCCTTACAGGACAGGACAGTAATAAAGTCATTCACACAACACAGGCTTCCCAAAATAATGTATGCCCTGCAACTTCTCCCGAACAAGTGTAAAGGGCAGGTGCACTGTGGCCCACATCTAACATGTGCTCAAACACACACACACCCAGGTTCAAGCAGCTGGTGAGTTTGCCCTTGACTGCCCAGCCCGGGGCACTGCAGCGGCATGGATGCAGCTGTTTTAAAGAGTTCTGGATGAGATTTAGAAAGCCATGTCCTTGTCAAGGGTATCTTCTTGTTTTTCATTAACTAGAAATACACTGAGTCTGTTTTCAGAACTACAATCCAACTGCTTCAATTGTCATGTTTCGAAATCTACAAGTTATCCAAAGAGCACAGTTGGAAGGAGCCGGACATCTAATCGTTTATTGGATAGCAAACACTGTTTAAGTGTTATTCTTGTGTACATGACAGTAAAAGAATGGGAGTACAGTGTGATTTCTTCAAAATCTGCTGTGATCCTGCAACAAAAGAGGTTTAAATGGCTGTGCAGCATGTAAACTTTGTTATGCCCCAACACTAGACTCCAGTGTTGATATTTAGTTTTCATTTTGATACCTGTATTAACACAACCCCTGGTTTTGGCATAAAGACTGTAACAAACACAGTAACCAACAAGGTGACCACACGTTTTACATATTGGGCCAGTATAAAAATCAGTACAACTGAATCCTAAATGCCTGTTGCCTCAAAGCAATACCTTTAAATGTTCAGAAAATCAGAGCAGAAAAACAGGCTGTTATCAAAGCAATGCTAATGAAGCATCCACCATTAAAACATATAGTGTTTATTATCTGACTATTATTAGTTTTAAGTAAGAGGTCCCTACTATCTTTGACAGCAGTCAGGGATAAGGTCTTAGTTTACTAACACTGAAAAAACAAGAGAACATTTGATCAGGATTGAAAAAAACAGGTACTCTAAAACATGCATGAACAATAATATATTAAAAGGATGAGACAGTTGAGCTGTGTTTGCTGCAGTGGGGGTCCTGAATACACCAAACACAGCATTCGACATGACATGAGCTGGGGCTTTGTAATCCAGAGGAGAGAAGAGGGGAGATGGTGTGAAGGGGTGGACCTGAATTTAATTTGTATAAGATATTGTGTTTATTAGTTTCCGTGTTTGTATATGTATAAAGATGTAGTATACAGATTTGTACAGACTACACCAATAAAAAAAAGTTAAGGATGGATAAGTGTGACGTGTCTTCTCAGTGTAGACTTGACCTTGAGTGACCCGCCTGAGGCTCTAACAGAGATATGGCCTGCTGTGCGATTAGGGATTCTGGGAGTCTACTGTTAAGGAACAGATGCCAGGGCACAACAGCTGTTCATCTGGCATCATCTCCCCAAGATCCCTGTTATCCTTTATCAGCACCTTCAATTGTCCAATAGTAGCACTTCCAGTTCAACAGCAGATAAATCAAGATTCAGGATATTTGTCGGACATTCAATGATCCTTATCGTCATTTAAGTACCTCTTTTTTCAGGGAATACTTTGCAAGCATTCAGCAAATAAACAACTTCATTCAAATTCCTGTTGTGATAGTGTGTGTCTGTGCAGTTGCATGTGTGGGAGAGATAATGCACTCACCCTGGAAAGACTGTCTGGCTCTCTCCACTAGCTCCTCGATGGAATAGCTGGCCAGGTCTCCTCTGGCATGTTTAGTCTTACAGTAGGTACACGCATTCAAACATCTAGACAGGAAAACACAGACAAGATGAGAGAAGATGAAATACAGTATGAGTAGTATTATTTGTATTATTCGTTCAAGGTTAAGGCATTCAAAAAATCTTGTAATTAAAAGTGTGAAAATATGGCTACATTTGTTGCAAAAACCACAACTTGTAAAACTCAAACACGTAAAAGTCATAATGTATTTGTTAGCTTCTTGTTTTAAATTGGATTGGCATCAATTTGAAAAAAAATCCAGACGGGTCTAAATTTGAAATAATTCAAAATGTAAAATCTGAAAATTGACCAAATCAGCCAAGAAAGAAATGTAAGACTGAGATACTTATGGGATGCAGTCAAACTGAACCCAGTCTGGGGAAAATGACAAGCTGAACTAAAAGAGGGGCCCATCTAAAAAAAAAAAAAAAAAGGACAATATCAGTTTAGCTGTAAACTATTTTGTGCCTTTACCTTGCCATCAGAGAGCCATTTACAAAGGGATTATCCAGTCTGGTTGCTTTGGCAAGAGGCTTCAGTCCCTAACCAGAAAGTGCTGCCATAAGGCAAGGTAAATATTGTATATAAAGTGTACACTTAAAACTCATTGATTCCTTCATGTGGGCCTTTCTCTGATGTGGCTATAATGTATTCCTGCTGGCCCAGCCACAGCAGGACATTGGTTAAATGCTGTGCCAATCCTGCCTGCTTTTCCAGACCGGGGGCTTGCAGACTTCATACAACCCCAAGTCAAACAATCAGATACTATACCATTTGATTTGCACATAAATCAACTGAATAGTGGAGTTCAGCAGAGATTGAGGAGACTATGATGAGTGCACAAATAGATGAAAGAAACTTCATATATGCACCTTTTCCCAAAGAGCAGACGCAGGAGAAGAAAGAAGGGGTTCAAAACTGTCCTTTCTTTTCTGAACTGTTCACAGAACTCTAGCTAGCTTGATAATAACCGTGGACAGCTGTCGCTTGACTCGTTTTTTTTTAATTGACCATGAAAGGGAGGGATCAAGACTATGAAGCAGAAACAAAGTAAATTGGTAACAAATTGCCTCACAGTAGATCGAGAAGCATGGCATGGTTTAAACTCTAAAGTTGAAATAATATTTATTGCTCTTTGTTCGAGATGAAGGGGGCTATTCTTCAAGATTTAAATCCCTCCTGAAAAGAAGAAGAAAGGCTACTGTTTTTTTATTTATTTACTCCATTAGGGTTTCTTGTCTGACCTCCAATTTGTCATACTGGGTTAAAAATATACACTGTTGTTACTACAACAGTTTGTTTTTACTGACTTTTTACTGGCTTAAATTGCTGGCAACAGCTGTAATTACTTGCAGGAACATGCTGTTCCGTGAAAACTAAAATTGTTTGTGTGTATTTATTGAGTTTTTACTCAAAAGGAAAAACAAGACCAACTTTCTCTTGTAAAAGACCATGATAAATCAGTTTCATCTCTTAGTGTGATCATGTATCGGGGGAAACAAGTGAGCCTAGTTGGTGCCTTTAGCTTTGAGATTGGAGTTTTTACATGGGGATGAATCTAACACTGCCACATTCAGCTGTCAATGGTGTTTAACAACAGTAATGTTAAGCACTTATAATATCACATATCTTAAGAACAGCATGATATGTGATGTTTCAACTAAAATCCCAAACTAGTAAAAAAGTGTGACTAACGTTGGAGGACAGTCCACTTACTTATAAAGAAAACAACGTGAGAATATATCCACACAGCACCACTAATGCAAGCGTTTGAGACAGGGAAAACATCAAAAGATCCAGTGTCTTTTATAAAAGTATGACACTGTTTAAATTGGTTTGTGAAAAATGTCTTACTAATGATTTTAAACATCAAATGCTGTGAAGTAAGGCAGCAGTATTTGACTATGAAATCAGACTGTCGTAGATAGCAAGTCTTGACCCTGTATCTGTCCGTGACAAACTCATGGAGAAATTACAGGGATTCCCAGAAGCTTGGCAAAACCATGACAACAACACAGGACTCAAGGCCAGAGTAATGAAGCAGTGGAGAGACTATAAGTGTATCCTCATAGTTTACATTACCCACTGAATAAAGTCTAAAAGCTTTCTGGGAAAAACAGGGTGAGACTCACAGATGAAGTTCAGAAAATAGTTTCAGAGAAAACTACTTCAGTTGAAGCATGGAAGTTATGGTCATTATGAATTCCACCAAAAAATTGGTTGTAAAGTTTAAAAGGTTTTTCCAGGAGGAAAGGTTATTTGGAACTACAGTTTGACTATGGGTTAAGTTTGAAACACTTTTACACATGTAGCTACTTAGCAGGTCAATTACAACACATTGGACTAAAGCAAGAGGGTCTAAAGGACCTTTGAACCTTCTTTACTGCATTTACTGGACTGTGAAAGACCTTCATACTGCAAGTGCCGACTGAGACAGCTACAATATCTTTACAATCATTTTGAAAAACAACCACAACGCCGGGAGCATTTTTTAATGTCACCGTGGAGAAAACTGACAAACAAAAAGAGAATATGGCTATCTATTCATCTATCCATCAATCTCTCCCTCTCAGGGTATTGCTTATCAGAGTTGAGGGCACTAAAGATGGCAGCTAGGTCACAGGACCTCGCTGTAGAGAAAACACAGACAGATGGGGCCCTGCATGTGCACACACTCACACACACTCACACAGCCAGACACACACACACACACACCATACACCACCAGGGGGTCCATCCATCTTAATGTGATCAGGCCCAGCTGAGTGGATCATACCAACATTAATCTCATGAGACAGTTAGTGGCCTTCTTGTGTGTGGCGTGTGTGTATGTCTGTGTGTGGCGTGTGTATGTGTGTATTTTGCATCAATCATGTGTATGTGTGTGAGTGTGCTGGTGTGAGTGTGCTGCTGCTTAACATTTGTCCAGTATCACAACAACGCATTAGCAGTTACGAACTCACAATCAACCCAAACAGACTGCGACAACTAGTCAGCACCCTCGGACTGACAGTGGCTGAAGGAGAGGAGCGGTGTCACTCTCCATGACACACACACAAACACACACTCTTTGCTGTGTCTTTTGGAAAACAAGAGAACAGAAATAACAGATGTTTTGATTACTTTTACATTTTAATTGTATACTATCAAGCAACAGGGAAAACGTTTTGTAAAAAGTAGCTGAAATAACACACTACTGTTACAGGTCATGATTAATACCAACTCACTATTGGTGTGAAGGAAAAATACTAGAACTTAAAATATATATTTCTTCTCCTTATCAAGCCTCCATCCTTTTTCCTCCTTTGTTTCTCTCCCCTCTGCCTTTTACTTCATCTCGTTAATTAAACCACAGAGGTAGCTGCTGAACTTGACAACAGTGTAGTTCATCAATGTCCCCTCTGTGTGTGTGTGAGATAGAGAGACTATTGTGTAGTTGCAGCCTTGCAGAAAAGCCCTGAGGTTCCTCTATAATTTGACACACACACACACACACACACACACACACACACACACACACACACACACACACACACACACACACACACACACACACACACACACACACACACACACACAGTCTGTGTTAGTGCTTGCATGCTCAGCAGTTTTCCACATGGTCTTTCCAATAGACGGCACTTTGATGGTAGTGACTTAACTATGATCAATGTGCTGCCATCAATATTTCAATCTCTGCTCCTCTGCGTCTCTTTACTCTGGCTCTTGCTGCTGGGAAAGACGCTGTCCCCACAGGGTTCATTTACCTTTGCGGCAATTTATTCCAAGGTGTAATTCCGATGTTGCTACTAAACTTACATTTGAACACCAAACCTAAAGAAATAGATGATCATTTTTGGCAAACGTTGAAAGCCCCGTCTGTCCAAGTGTACATGGCTGCAGAGGCAGAGGTAAACAGGAGCTGACACCTGTCACAGATAGCCAACAAGCTAGCCCCCATATCTGTCTGTCCATGGTTATCTGTCATGTGTCATCGAGCTGGATTCAGAAAACAAAGCAGTGTCATTTCTGCTAATATCTGTGTTTGACACAGATGACATCAGTCATGTGGAAATGAAAGAAAAAGCAAATTATATTTGTAGTATCATTATTAATGTTATTATGTGCATATAGTATGTGCATAGTATGATGTTATCATACCTATAGGCAGCCTGATTAAGATGTATAAAAAAATGTAATTATATTGTCAGTTTTATGCGAACAATTTTTTTAATAGTGACATACATAAATACATTGTGTTTCGTGAATACTTTTTTATTTAAGAGCCAGCAGTTGTGTCTATAATAAAAAAACAATACTGGTGATACAAGGTTTCAGTTGTTTGTTGTCATTATGCCAACACTTGCCGGAGCCCAACATTAGGCGCTTTCACACCGCAGTATTTTTCCCACAAAGGTTCATCAGAACTTAGTTCATGAGAACTCTTTAGTTCTCATGAACTAAGTTCAGATCGCGTTCACACCGGAATAAGTCCCTGAGGGAGGATTAGGCAAATGAAGCCGCTGACGTCACTTCTTCTTCTTCTTCTGCTGCTGCTGCTTTGGGTTTACTGGCAGGCCGCAAACAACTTCACGGCGTATACAGCCACCCGAAGTCCCCGGCCGGAAGTCCCCGGAGTTGGGGACTGGCTTCAGTAGAAGCTGCTGAGACTCCTAGCAGCTTCTACTGAAGCCTTCAGAGTAAATCTCCAGAACGCCGACACCTCCTCATCTCAACCGCTCCCATGTTTTCTTTGTGTTGCCATAAGTTAGTCTCTCTGCGTTTGTGCGCTGGGCTAATGCTAATGCTATGATAATAAAATGACGGCTTCACAAAACGTTTTTTGAATTTTACGGGGCGTGGTTTGCAATCCGCCCAGCCAATCAGAAATAGGAACCTTTTTCTCCCACGAAAGTACCTGCTCTCTAGCAGGGACGGAAAAGGGGCTAAAAAAGGTTCTCATTAACTAATTTTAGTTCCGGCTCTTTTTGGTGTGAACGCGACATTTCGGAACTATATTGGAACTAAA